ACAACCGGGGTGAGGCACCCCCGCACTAGCTACTTCCCCCCAGCAGACTAGGGAGATGCGAAGCTAGCGCGTCCCCCTCCCCCCGCCCAGCAGACCAGGGAGAGGTGGAGCGGCTTTTCTCAGCAGACACTTCAGCTTGAGAATAAAGGGCTGAGGGAAGTGAGGTGTGGGAGAATAAAACTGAGCTCTGGAGAAATGTTTGGCTAGAGTTTCCCCTACAATATGTACCAGTTCCGACTTACATACAAATTCAACTTAAGAACAAACCTACAGTCCCTATCTTGTACGTAACCCGGGGACTGCCTGTAACAGGAGCAGCATTAACCAGTTCTGAAAGTTAGAGAGAGTTTCAGACTCACTTTCTAAAATACAGGTGGGTGATTTCAGATCACATTCCTTTAGGAAAAAAACAGCAATTGTGTTCCATCTATTTCTGGTTGCTACCCAGGTCAATAACATTGGCTAGAGAAAGCGACTGCACAGCCACTGGACTAACTTTTCCACAAGCTCTGGCAATGCCTAGCAGTTCCAGTCTGTCTCATGCTTGTGAGTTCAGGTTTGGTTCTTTATTAAGTACAGAGTAACAATCATTCATGCCAAATTGTAGCAGATGATGGGGTGGATCATGGATGCAGGCAAATGAGTACTTGGAATGAGTAGGTAGTGACCAAATTTTTCTAGCCTCAACTTTCTGGAGTCCCAAAGCATGGGCGTTCAACAAGCCACCACACCATCAATGTCCTACCTTTTGATTAAGCCCTTTTTAATTATTGAAAGAGGAAAGAAAAGTTGGCATCAGTCAAGTAGACAAAGCATGGGCGTTCAACAAGCCACCAAACCATCAATGTTCTACCTTTTGATTAAGCACTTTTTAATTATTGAAAGAGGGAAAAAAATTTGGCATCAGTCAAGTACGAAAACCTGCAAGTACAAGACTGTGTACGTCAATGGCTACACTAAGACTTTCTATCATTCATGTCAGAACACCATTTGTACTACAAATCCTCCAGTCTTCAAAATAAAAGTTCTTTCCCCACAACCAGTTGCATTACATAATAGTTGTACTATGCACAGAAAAGCTCACTAAATATTTCTAGTCAAGAATTTTACAGTGCTTACCATTAACCAATATACACCACCCCATTGCAAGGTGGGTACTATTAGCCCCATTTCAGAGATGGGGAAACTGAGGCATAAAGAAGTGCCATGACTTGGCCAAGGTCATGCAGGGTGTCAGTGGCAGAACCAGGAATACAACCTAGCTCTCCTGAGACCCTAGCCAGTGCTTTAATCACATACCATTCTTCCTTATTACAGCTGCAAGCCCTTTGCAGGCAATTGCGGCTGTCACGTAAAAGAGAGACCCCTTCCTTAAATTAGAGCTTAGTATCCAAAGAATCATTCTTTCATCAGGTGCAGTGTAAGACCCACCTATTAACTGCAGCGTAGTACCCTGAAACTGCACTGTGGCTCTGGGTCTGTACTCAACAATGAGGCATTTCCGACTCCATTTGATGATGAAACAGCCTGTTAGCTTTTCCCATCTCTCTTGTCCATTGAGAAAAGAGAGATCTCCCCTTTCTCTCCCCCCCCCACCTCACATGGACACAGAGGAAGGAGATCCCCCCGTCTCTTAGCAGCGGAGAGAGAATGGGGAGGGTTTCTCTTTCCAAGCTCCTGGGGAGTAGGGATTGTTTCTCCCCTCCTCTTTTCCCCACCACCCCTTGCCCAGCTCCTGTTGGGTACATCCCAAAGAGAAATGCACTTCCTGGCTCACCCATTTGCATCCCTCCACAGGGAGCATCTTTATAGGCAATGTCCTAAAGCAGTGAGGGGTAACCTAGGCTAGTGAGTGGGCCACATGAGTGGCCCTCCATCTCAGGCTACGTCTAAACTGCAGAGTTTTTGTGCAAAAACGTCCGGTTTTGCACAAAAACTCATGAGCATCCACACCTCAAGCACATTTTTGCTCAAGTAAATTGACAGAACGGAGGAGTTTTTGCGCAAGAGTTATTCCTCTCTCTATGAGGAAGAGCTCTTGCGCAAAAAGGTGCGTGTGGACGGGGAACTGCATCTTTTTGCACAAAAACCTCCATCAGAAAAATGCGTGAGGAGCATTGGCAATTTAGGGCCTAACATGAGGGACATTTGTCTGGTGTTCAGTCTGGGCGCTCTCTTGCGCGAAAGCCCATCTCTTTTTCGATGCGCTTTTGTAGTGTGGATGCTCTCTCTTGCGCAAGAAGTTTTTGCAAGAAGATCTCTTCTGCAAAATGTTTCTTGCGCAAGAAGCTTGCAGGCTAGACATAGCCTCAGTGAGCTACAAGATTGTCATAACCAACACATGCTCCAAGAATAGGGTAGTTTTTCTCACTGCACTTGCGTACCCAGAAATGTGTGGAGTATGCCCATTCAACTGTAGCAGCACTTTGATTGGATGCAGAAGGAGCGCATGAATCTCACAATGTTGTGTGCAATCAGCATGCACCTCGCTTCACGTGTCTTTGCTTTAAGGGTGTGTCACTTTAGTAATACCCATAGGAAAAAAAAAAAAAAAAAAAAACCCACAACAGAATCTGGCAACGCTTCATGTGGGTAAACAAAATGTCTCGTGGAGCACACACAGAACCCGAATTGGCCGTATGCAGCCCTTGGGTTACAGGTTGCTCATGGCTGTCCTAAAGGTGCCATGAAACTGGTATTCAGGGCTTTGAACAGTCACCCACAATGTTCCTTCTAATTTTTTCCATCCAAGTGCAGAATACATTTTGTTATGTGCACCAACGCGTGTCTGGATGTGCACCACCAGTACCAACACATGCTGTGGGGACTATGGGCACTTTGCTAATCCACTCGGCAGCATTTGAATTCCACCTGGGTGGCCACCCAAGCGTTCAGCTTACAGGGAACAGTGGTCACCAATGGGTTATCTTGGCATTACGCTATTTTTATCCATACTTCTCATGTTAAGGCTAAGAGGGCCGATTAAATGCTCAGGAATTGTCAGAAGGAAAAGCTCATACAGTTTTATAAGCACTAGAAAATACTATGGGTATGCTGGGCTTGTCCCTGCCATCAGTACCCAGTCTGTGCCAAAGAGCAAAAATATCTTCCTGCTTTATTCCTTTCTCTGCCAAAGACAAACAAAGCCATCCTAAAAATGACACATTTTTCTTAAAACATTGGCTTTATGTCACAAAGCATCCTCCTGTGGCACTGTCAGATTGAAAGCCAGTAACACGCTGTGCGGTACAAACTCCGGAGGAGGGGTGTGGGCACCATGGAGTGCAGATAGTGTAAAAGATATGTTGAGGTCAGACAAGCTCTTGGCATCCAAAACAAACTTGTCTTCCTTTCTGGTTAGACATAAATCTACAGCAAAATCTAAAACAAATAATGGAAGACTAATGTCTCTGGTCTCAAGCCTCAAACAACACTAAGCTGGACTAGCCCTCTTACGGATCCAATGTAGGAAACAAAATGACAAACTAAGGAAACTACCATGGTGTTAATATCTGGAATACTGATCCCCTTCCCTACTTGTTTGTTGTCCTGATTTTAACCAGGCAGGTGCTGCTCTGCAGTTAGGTTAACTGAGATAGTGCTGTGATTTATAATACAACCCGTTTTGTCAAAAGAACATTAAAGTTGCAGAGTCAAGTCCCCCCAAATTAGGAAATGCCAGAGTTAAGGTTATCTTTGAAGTCTAATTTACAGTGGTTTTAACTCTATTGATTCCAATTATGTTGATCCTGATTCACACCAGTGCAAGATCAGGATCACTACTCATTATTTTTAAAGCTACAGACTAACACGGCTACCCCTCTGAGACCTTTAGATTTCAATTTGTCTTTGGGCTGGCCTACACTCAAAAGTTAGGTTTACCTAGGGGTGAAAAAAATCCACACCCCAGCGCAATATAGTCAAACTCACCTAACCCCAGTCTAGACTCAGGCCATGTCTCCACTTGCCAGAGGATCAACGCTCTGGCAATTGATCTTCCAGGGTTCAATTTAGTGGGTCTAGTAAAGACACACTAAATCGAACACTGAGGGTGCACCCGTCGGCACAAGTACTCTTTGCTGCCGTGAGGAGTAAGGGAGGTCGACGGGAGCATTTCTCCTATCAACCTCCCACTGTGAGGCCACCCAAGAGAATTGGTGCAAGGTACATTGACACCAGCTATGCAATTCACTTAGCCGGAGTTGCATATCTTGCACCAATTTTCTCCACCAGTGGAGACCTGGCCTTGGAAGAATTCAGTCAGCCTCCTCTGAGGGGAGGTGGAGTATCTACATTGAAGTGCTACACTGCAACTGTGCTGCTGTAGCATTTTGAAGTGGAGACATGAGCCTTTATTTCAGTCTGTGATGCTCAGTCCTGTCACAACTCTACCTTCTCTGTGTGCTCTCTGTTTACACTCACACACTTCCCATTTAACACCCTATTAAACTGCACACACCTGCTGTGGTTTCCTTCCCAGACCGTTGTACTGAATTTTTATAGCCTCCCCGACCGAGTGACATCATGGTAGGAAGACATAACACTCACCACATTAACGAGTTATTTTGGCTTTCTTTTCAGACGAAGTGGGAGAGGAGCCAGAGACTACAGAGGAGAAAGGTAAGTAACCAAATTGGCTGTAAAAGGAGTAGATGTATTTAAATCCAAGATGTTGTACAGCCATGAACTTTAAAAGGCTTTCAAGGTCCTGTCTCAAAAGCCCATTGAAGTAAATGGAGAAACTTGGGCCCAAAGAAAGTTAGCAAGGAAACTACTAAACTTAAATGACTTATTTTCAAATGGTTTGCAGTATTGTTGTCACCATTTTAATCTTAAGACACTAGAGAGACCAGGTGGGTGAAATAAAATCTCCTCCTGGACCAACATCTGTGGGTGAAAGAAACACGCTTTGGAGCTATGCATAAAGGACACTGTGTAAGCTCAGAAGTGTGTCTCTTTCACCAAGCCGGGCATAATTGGTAATGAAAGAGGTGTTGGGGCTCAAGCCATTGGTTTTACTTTTATATCTGATGTGGCAAGCGGGGACGGACTGGAGCTATGAACTTCCAACCTAGAGGTTCCAGGGCTCAGTCTTGGCACACATTAAGCACTGTCACCAGTAGCGTTTGGTCCAGTACAAGACATGGGACCTGTCATGTCTCTCTAAAGCAGGAGTCTCAAACTAAGATAAATCTTAGATCCAGTGTCTATGCTCAAATCCTCCAAGTGGCCCAGCGGGCACTCCTCATTGGTGAGGGTGGGGGAGGGGGGGATCTCTGTGTGTTCCTCCATGTGTCTCCTGCCACCTCCAGGGGATGTAAAGCCCTCCTCCCCCCCAGGTCCTGGTGCTACCATTGGCAGCGCAGTGGGGCTAGAGCAGCTTCCGGCTCCAAGCCAGCATGTTCTTGTGGCCTGGGGTGGTGTGTGCAGAGCTGTCCCATCCACAGGATGGTTCAGTGCAGCCACCCCAGGCCACACACTTTTGGGGGTTTCTTGGCAGCCACCCCAACTTGTCCTATGGACAGGGTGCTTCCCCATGGTCAGGTGGGGCCCTGGCCACCGCAGTAAAGCAGCATGATCAGACTGGGCTGGGTGATGGTGGTGGAGAGGGGAGAGGCTGCTGCATCTTTGCAGCTCCCGCCACTTCAGTGAGTGGAGACAGGGGGGAATCCCTGTTGCCGCCCTTCTTAAGACCCCCCCCCCCAAGTAATTCCCAAGGCTGCTTCCCTCAAGATACAGGGCTTGAGGGAGGGGAAGGAGGGAGAGGGCAGAGCAGGGGCAGGCAGAGGTGGGGCAAGGATGTAGCAGGGACTGGACTTGGGGGAAGGATACAGGACACCCCCCAGGGCTGCAGGGTCTCACATGCCAGCAGCCCTGTGCAGGCCGGATTGTGGAACTGCTCAGGATGCAGTTGGCCTGTGGTCTGTGAGTTTGAGACGCCTGCTCTAAACCTACATGACACGTTTTAAAGTTCATAAGGTTCAGGGAAGATTCCCAAGGAATGGACAGTGGCAAACATAATTCCATTTCATTGCTGAGTATCAGTACCCATCACTAGCCTGCCCCGCGGCTATACACGCTAACATCCTATTCGTTTCCCTGCTCAGAGGGCCTGTCAGCATTGGCACTGGTTGGAATCATTGCTGGAATCATCATTGCAGTGGGCATCGTGGCTGGAATCATCATTGCCGTCGTGAGGAAAATGTCGGGCAGGTATTCGTAAGTAAATTACTAGGCAGGTGTATGGCTAGAGGCTGCTATAGCCCCAGTTTCAGTGACGGACCAACTTCATAAGGCGTTTGATTCCACATCCAATGCAGTCTTTGCCTTGATTTCAAAGGTTGTGGGATGGAGCCCAAGGTTTGCCTGCGGGAGACATTATTCCAGAGAAGCAGCCAAACATGCAAGTAATTTATCCAAACACCAGGAGAGACTGGAAATTTCACAGGAACAGGCCTTCCTATTTTTAGCAATTCCACGTTTGGACCGAGCCAAACGTCGTTTAGGACTGTCCGTTATCATGGCATTTGGTGGTGGTGCTTCTCTCTCCAGTCCTGGATGGAAAACGGAAGTGAGGAAGGGAGAGGGGAGAGAAATACCCAAGCTGTAAAAAAGTTTCATCAGCATCCACTTCCAGATGTTAAATCATAGACTCATAGGGCTCGAAGGGACCAACCCCTCCTAAGATGCAGAATTTGTTGTGTCTAACCCATCCGAGGTAGATGGCTCTCCAGCCTCCTTTTGAAAGTCTCCAACCAAGGAGTTTCCACAACCTCTCTAGGCCATCTGTTCCCTTCTCCTACTGTTCTTACAGCTAGTAAGTTTTTTCCTTGAGATTTAATTGAAAACTGCTATGCTGTCGTTTGAATAATTTATTTCTTTACTGATGGTGCCGAGGGAGGGTGTGTTAGTATCTTTTCTCCACTCCTCCAACCGGGTCATCTATAGTCCTGAATAATTTATTCAGTAGTGACACAGTCAGGCTGGGATGAACAGAGACAAGAAAATGTTCTCGTTCATTGACCTGCTTCTTTTGACAGTCTGTCCCAAGCCAAGGAGCCTTTAGGGAATGGTAAACTGATGCTGTCACTCATGGCTGTTGGAGCAGACACCCCAGACTTAAAATCAGATGGAGGGAGTCTTCTTTCTGTTTAATAACTCTTCAGTACAGGTTTCCCTCAGTGCATCATCATGTGGCAGTCACCTGTCTCATGCGGGTATACACCCTAGACCAGATTCGAAGCTGGTGTCGACCGGCAGAGTTCCAATTCCTACCAACTGAGGATCTAGTTCTGTCTCTTGCCTTCAATGTTTATGAGAACATAAGACAGAGGGACCTAAAGAGCTGTTTATTTTTTTTCAATTTCATTAAATTATGATAGCAGTTTTCAAGTATCTAAAAGGGTGTTGCAAGGAGGAGGGGGAAAATTTGTGCTCCTTGGCCTCTGATGATAGGACAAGAAGCAATGGGCTTAAATTGCAGCAAAGGAGGTTTAGGTTGGACATTAGGAAAAACTTCCTACCTGTCGGGGTGGTTAAACACTAGATTGAATTGCCTAGGGAGGTTGTGGAATCTCCATTATTCGAGATATTTAAGAGCAGGTTAGATAGACATCTGTCAGGGATGGACTAGACCAGAAGTAGGCAATAATTTTTGGCTGGGAGCCACTTCAAAAAATGTAGAACTGGCCCATGGCCGACCCGGAAGGGGCGGGGCCTAATCCAGAAGGGGTGGGGCTATAATGCTCCTGGGCTTCCCCGCCCCCAGACCATAATTGGTCTGGGGGTGGGGGAGCCCCTTTGCCCCCTCCTTCCCACTAGGCACCCATGCCCCTGGCAGGGCGGGAAGAGCCTTCACATAATCCCCCGTTCCCAGGCCCTGATTGGCTGGGGGGTGCGGGAAGAGCCTTCACATAATCCCCCGCTCCCAGGCCCTGATTGGCCGGGGGGTGGAGGGAGCGTGTCTACTTTCACCTCTGTATGATGTGGCTTTCCAGACAGGATGCCGGCCATTTTAATGAATGCACCCTGCCACCTCACGGAGGGTATGTCTACACTACAGAGTTTTGTCAGGAAAATGGCGCATGATATCTCCTCCCGCCCTGCGAGCAGCGCGTGACGCTTCAAAATGCTGCGTGCTGCTCACAGGTCGGGAGGAAGCTTCACATGCTCCCTCGCTCCTAGGTCCTAATTGGCCCGGGGGTGAGGGAGCAGCAGGGTCTCTGTGGGCCAGATCAACCCGCTTGGTGGACGGATCCGGCCTGCGGAGGCCCTTCTGACCACTTCTGATCTAGATGGTGCTTGGTCCTGCCGTGAGGGTAGGGGACTGGACTTGATGACCTCTCAAGGTCCCTTCCAGTTCCAGTATTGTATTATTCTATGATCTAATTTTAATACTATAATTAATTTTTAAAAACAATTTAAGCTAATTTTAAAGGCAGGGGACTGGACTTGATGACCTCTCGAGGTCCCTTCCAGTTCCAGTATTGTATGATTCTATGATCTAATTGTAATACTATAATTAATTTTTTAAAAAAATTTAGGCTAATTTTAAAGATATCTCTACTGAAAGAATTGATGCTGAGCCTAATAGATTCGTGGCCAGAGAGTTTATGCATGAAATGATCATGGCTGCTTACTCTGACCTGATAGGTACAGGTGCAAATACCTATTTTGATGCATATACAGACTAAGGTAACGGCATGTGCAAATTAAGCACACCGTTGCACATTAACTCTTTGAAAAGCTGGCCTTCCCAAACAACAAACAAAAACACCTTATCTTTATGGCTGCTTACTCTGACCTGATAGGTACAGGTGCAAATACCTATTTTGATGCATATACAGACTAAGGTAACGGCATGTGCAAATTAAGCACACCGTTGCACATTAACTCTTTGAAAAGCTGGCCCTCCTAAACAACAAACAAAAACACCTTATTTTTTCGTGTTTGATTTTATTTGTCCTATTTTATGACTGGCATGCCGTATTCCAGAAAATAATGAATTCATTCCTCCAGCCTTTCCATATTTTACTTGGGTTTTGATTCAAGCAAGCCCAAAAGTCCAAGTAAACTTCAGCTAAGCCCCACTAGTATCTAGATGGGTTTAATCAAAAATCATAAATCAATCCAGAGCTGTTGAAAAGCTAGTCAAGGCTCATTGTAAGATTCAGGAATCCAGTCGGAGAAGTTTGTGTTTACAGCAAAGCCCCCAAACTGGAGAAATTGGCCTGACTTTAGGTGAGGCTCCAAAGATTTCATACAATTTCAGTTTCTACCTTCACTGAAAGACAGTGAGGCCATGTTTTAGACTAAAAATGTCAGCAAAAATTTAGTAGTTTGTGCATTAGATTGAAACTGAGGAAGCTGGGCTCTGACATTCATTCATTTTGTGTCTTTGGGTGCACCACTTCCCCTCTTTGTGACTGAGTTTTTCCCTCTATAAAAGGGAGTACTAATTAGGGATGTAATCGTGAGTGGGTTAACCGATTAACTGATAAGCCACTTAATTGACTATTCAATTAACTGATATTTAACATCCCTCGTACTAACCATACCTATTTCACCAGGCCCACTGGCAGGAGAGAGGGGACAAGTGGAGCAGTTGCTTTGGAGCCCAACAATTCCAAAGAGCTTGGGGCTCGCAGCTGCTGCTGCCGCTATTGTGGTAGTGGCGGTGTAGTAGGACAACTGAACAGTAACAGCCCTAATAGAAGTGTGCTCCTATTGCGGCACTAAATTTAAAACACAATTGGCAAAATACAGAGGGGAGGGGAGGCTAATTGCAAAACATAAAACGCAATAAAATCAAACACTTAACACAACTGGCAAATAAAATCTGTCTATCAGTCCTACGAGGGAATAGCCAAGTAAGGTGTCCACATAACAGTGTTTAGCCCACTGGGTCACCTTCAGTCCATGCATTATGCTTTTCCGGGACAATGGGGAAACATCCTCCCCAGAAAAAAAAAAAAGCAGCAGAATGCAGGAGAAAGAAAGAGCCTAAAGCCTGGGCCTGGTGCTTGAACCAAAGTAAGTAAGAGTTATACTATGAGCAATAGACAGGCTGTGTTAAAAGCAAAAATTTGCCTGCAAGTCAGCATTTCTCAGCACTAGATCTGCTAGCATGGGCAGAAGCACATGACGTACATAAATACATGCCACTAGGACAGTACAAGGACAACCAGCTGAGTACATGATAAAACAGTTTGAAAGAGCAAGAGTGAAAGCATAACAACGGGTAGTGAGTGCTTTGGAGGCAAGTACAATGGGAGCTACCAAACATGTCATTAGTGCGTTAAGAGGATACGTACGGTGTGCATCATAGATTGTTCATTTCTGTTTATAAATATTGGGGTACCTCGACTTAATTCTTTGGCCGGCCTATCGGGTGAGAGCAAAATCCATACTATTGACTGAGCCATGTCCGTTGTCCCGGGTACAAATATATAGGGGCTCGGAGCATCTGGCAACCAACCAGGGGCGGATATAGGGAAGGGCGAACGGGGCGGCTGCCCCGAGCCCTGCGCTTCAGAAAGCCCCGCGCATGCGCCGTGGCGCCACCACGCATGCGCATGGCATCACTGCGCATGCGCCGTGGCAAAGGGGGGGGCCCCGCAAAATTATGCTGCCCGGGGCCCCACAAAACAGTCATCTGCCCCTGCTACCAACAATTATTAATGTATTTCATTTGACAATAAAACTGACTCGGGTGCCTTCATATGTTATCTGAGTCTGTGGTCTTTGTGGACTCTCGTGAAATCTACTATGCTAGCTACCGGCACAGAGCTGGCATGATATACTGAGGGAGCCTATGAAAACGCATGCAGCCGAATGTTTACCATCACTGACCAAGCAGGAGACCTGTCAGGATGCCACACCAGTGAATCCTGAATTTACTGTATCACTGTCCTGAACTACTACAAGCAGCAGCTGGAGTGTCAAGCCCTTTAAATCGCCGCTGGAGTGGCACATGGTGCTCCGGTGGTGCCAAAGGGCTGGCAGGGGGAGGCTAGTCTTAGCTCCACCCCTTCTGCCAGAGGCCATGCCCTCCATCTTGCTCAGGGGCTCAGCAATTCTGTCACCCACCCTGTATTCCATTTAACCAACTGAATGCAAATCCCTCCATTCCCCTCTCTCCCTCTCTCTCTCTCTCTCACACACACACGTCCTGAGGAGCAGCTCCACAGCTATTACTGCAATCTCAAGTATGCAGAACAGTCATAAGAACATAAGAATGGCTGTACTGGGTCAGACCAAAGGTCCATCTAGCCCAGTAGCCTGTCTGCCGACAGTGGCCAGCACCAGGTGCCCTGGAGGGGGTGGACCGAAGACAATGATCAAGCAATTTGTCTCGTGCCATCCATTTCCAGCCTCTGACAAACATAGGCCAGGAACACCATTCCTTCCCCCTGGCTAATAGCCCTTTATGGACCTAACCTCCATGAATTTATCTAGCTTCTCTTTAAACTCTATTATAGTTCTAGCCTTCACAGCTTCCTCTGGCAAGGAGTTCCACAGGTTGACTATGCGCTGTGTGAAGAAGAACTTTCGCTTATTAGTTTTAAACCTGCTACCCATTAATTTGATGTCCTCTAGTCTTTATATTATGGGAACTAATGAATAACTCTTCTTTATTCACCCTGTCCACACCACTCATGATTTTATAGACCTCTGTCATATCCCCCCTCAGTCTCCTCTTTTCCAAACTGAAAAGTCCCAGTCACTTTAGCCTCTCCTCACAGTCCACAGTCCATGTGCTAGCAAGAATGGCTAGTGGATCCATGTAGTCACATAAGCCTGGTCCCTTTGCCTCCAAGTGCCCCTGCATCTCTCGCCAAGTCCTCCTAAGTAATGACTGCAGTGGAGCTTTATATTACAACTTTCTGTCTGGGAATCTGTACTTCCTCTCCCCTGTATGGCTGCAGAGAGAGAGAGAGGTTTTGCTTTATAGTGTGTAATGCAAGTTTAAATTCTCCATGGAGAGAGTGCTCAACATCCTAATTATTGTTATTGTTTCCAGTTTAATTTATCCAGCAAGTAAGTTTGTAGTGAAATGGATGTGTGCCCAATGCAAACTGATCCTTTTCATGTTCAATTTCTGTTCCAGTAGAAACAAGGAAACAATATTTCTCTATACATTGTCAATAGAGTCTATGCTCGCTTTTCACCATGGCTACATCTAGACTGGCCCCTAATTCCGGAAAAGTCATGCAAAGCAGGTAAGTCAGAATAGGGAAATCCGTGGGGGATTTAAATAAACATGTCCGCCGCTTTTTTTCCGGCTTGGGGAGAAGCCGGAAAAAAGCGTCTAGACTGGTGCGATCCTCCGGAAGAAAAAAGCGTCTAGACTGGCGCGATCCTCCGGAATAAAGCCCTTTTCCGGAGGATCTCTTATTCCTACTTTCAAGTCTACTGGAACTTTCAAGTAGGAATAAGAGATCCTCCGGAAAAGGGCTTTATTCCGGAGGATCGCGCCAGTCTAGACGCTTTTTTCTGGCTTCTCCCCAAGCCGGAAAAAAAGCGGCAGATATGTTTATTTAAATCCCGCGGGGGATATTTAAATCCCCCGCGGATTTCCCTATTCTGACTTACCTGCTTTGCATGACTTTTCCGGAATTAGGGGCCAGTCTAGACATAGCCCACCAGTATCCTAGCCCATCACTAATTAACTGCCAGACTGTTTTTAAAGTACTTAAAATATTGTCTTGTCACCTACCATGTAACTGGTATGAGACAATATGTGGAACAGTTGTTCCAAGCTTCCAGAAGCTCTTCAGAATGTCCAGGACTAGTAGCCATCTGCCTCCTTCCAGCTTTTGGAAGACTAGCTTCCACACACGGCTAGCTTCAAATGGAAATGCTTCCCCTTGCTACGCTTTGGGTGTGCCACTCAACTTTCTACTGACTAGTGTTTTCTTTCAAATCTCTGCCCCCAACTTACCATTGGGAGAGATAATGCTACAGGGAGATACTGTCGCTACAATGGGATGATCAATAGTAGAGCTGGTGAAAGTGAGGGGATGAAACTGCAAATGCCATGAATATCAGGCATTCAGTTCAATTTTTGTCAGAGCTGAATCCTTGCCCCCTTTAAAACCCACTCGCCCATCTGCATAGTTTCAAATCCGGTCTGCAATGGTTTGGTTGAATACGTGTTTGCGTGTGTTCAGTGTTGGCAAAGTGGTCAGACATTACAATGACAAGGCCTTCTAAGGAGACAGAGGATGATATTTTCAAAAGGGCCTCCCTTGTGCTGTTATCATTTCAACACTTATGAAAATTCCCCGCCCTCAACTTTAGAACAGCACATTTCATACTTGGGTTTAAGAAGGACGTAAGTGGCATTTTGCTGGGGGGAGTTTCACCTCAGAATATTAGAGTGACTGATTCTGAAGCAGGAAATCTGAGAAACACCACTGGATACTGCTGAGACTGTTATCGGTTCACTTCTGACATTCTTCAAATATATTCTAATATTGACCAGATTTAAGAGCAGCAAGACCGGTCCATGAGTACTTTGCAAAACGTAAAGAAATAAAAATGTATTGAATACTGTATTTGGCAAATGCCCTTCACACTATTCTGGTAAATGGGCAGCAGAAGCAAGCTGCACCTGTGCTAGACAGGCACTGGCAACAGGAAAATATGAACTGGGAAGGGGAGGAAAGAGGCAGCGGGAAAAGCTGGGAGGAAGAGGCGAGAGATGACAAGAGCGAAGACAATGATTATATTTTTCTCACTCTGGGAGCCAAAATGATTTAACGTCACCCCATTTTTCCGTTTGTTTTCACAGGCCCTAAAAATAAATGAAGAAATCATGTTGTTTTAAGCCAGAAAATAAAAGTGCTTCCTATTATACAATTGCTAGAGACTGTGTTCCTGAATCGCTGTGAGAAGATGATCCATGGAAATCATGAATGCAGAACTCCAGATCCATGGGGATCCCATACAGCTTTCCAGAGAGATATTTATCAGACTTATCAGAAGTGCAACAATTCATAGGACTTCGCTAATCAAACGTATTTAAAGGGGAATGAAAAAAAAACATGCTATAGAAAAGAAAAACAAGCAAAGCCATGTGCATCTGAAAGGTGCTTTATAGATAATATACATACAATTATAGGTAGATGTTAAACCATGCCAGGAAAAAATGGTTCTCTCACATTGTATCCAGATTCTTTTCTGTTATAAGCCTCCAGGAAAAAATGGTTCTCTCACATTGTATCCTATTGGTGCCTCTGAAATTATAAATCCAGATTCTTTTCTGTTATAAGCCCTTGGTGAAGTCAGAAAGTCTAGTGTATGCTTCAGTGCTAAAGATGTTTAAAACCACCAGTCCTTGTAGGATATTGATCTATTGAATCTGTATTTGTTTAACAAGGCAAGAAAGTAATTTCATCCTAACAATTAAGAATTGACTTCTGAAGGAGACAACTGTATTTAAATTATGTAAGCAAATTAGACTCATGTCCTGGTACTTAAGTCATTCTTATGAGAATGCTGCACTTTTATGCAGCAAAGCATAATGGGCCCAGCTGGAACTGGTCTTCTTACTCATCTCTTTGACTGTTGTCCCAAGGACCTCCTTCCTGTCTTTGTTGTGGTGATGTGCGGGGATGGAAATACATGTCCCAACTGATGGGGTGCTAGGAATAAACCCTCTTTTGATGGGTCCCTGTAACTTACTATGCAACCAGAGTTGGATGCGTAGCTGATGATTGAATCAGTAAATGGCATTCTTTTTTTTCCTTTTTCTTTTTAACTACAATGGCAGGCTGAGTTTGGCCATACCCTGGGTAACATCAGATCAGTGCACATACTGATGAGGTGTACCACTTCTCTGGACACAGCATAGTTTTTACCATGGCATACGTGATGCAGGGGACAGGCTGGGATTGAGATTTCGAAATAAAAGGCTTTAAGTGCCAAATGGCTGCAAAATATTATGTTTTCAGAGTGCCTGTTCTCAAACATTTAGAGGACCTTCACTGAAATCCACTTCTGCAGAGTGGACTAAACATGTTACCTTTTCCAGATTTACTCTTCCATTTCCTTTGTCCGCCATGATCTATCCTATATAGCTGAGCCTTGGAAATAAAAGTTGTGGTGCATCTTGTGTCAGAATTTGCAACAGTTGGTTTTTATTTTCTTTTATAGCACATACAAAACCACTTAAATGCTTACCTATCTGGCTCTTTCCTCCTTCTGATATTGCCTCTTTTCCTGGATTCTTTTTGTCTTTTACAGACTTTGGCACATTCTTTAAGTTAAAAAATGAAGTTTATTTAAAAACTTGTTCCAGTCTAGACACCCTTGTGAGAAAAAATAATTTAGAAACTGTTTGTGGTGCAAAACTCGAATTTGAGAATCAGTGAATCTGGGCATCTCCTAACTATGATGACCCTATAAAGTATAGAAAGGCTAGGAGATGAATGAGATATTATTTAGTGAACTTCAAGTTTAGGGCATTTTATTATGTCCTCCCTCATGTTCAGCCCTGTGTTTCCTGAACCTGAACTTGTGCTGTCTAGAGAAGGGCCCAAACTGGAAAAAAAAATCAAATATGGATCTTGGAGGTTGGGATGTTTTGATAAAGGATTTTGCTCTGGCCCATTTATAAATGGGAGTCCAATTTGCAAGACCTAGGATTTTTTTAAAAAATCTCAGAATTCAGACATGTCTGAATACAGGGCTTTGGCTTGGACCCATATCTTTAAATCTGTTTGCTTCCACAGCCACTTAGAAGACCTTTGTAATGTCAAAACAGGAATGTAACATTCACTTCTTTAGCAACAACTAATTATAAAGGACAAACTTCACCCCTGTAAACCATGTTAGCTCAAGGCCTGTCGCCACAAGTCTCATTTTAAGGCCTACTTTGAAGACTTAAGTGAGACTTAATTGATATGTAGGCTTTGTGCTGGCCTTCCTAAGGTTACCACAATATCAGTAATGCCTGAGGAGCCTGCCTTAAAATAAAATTGTAATATGCCTTCCTGGCTCAATTTTAGAAAACTGCTTTCATAAAATACAGTCAAGAGCTGTCCATTTAAAATGAGCTGTTTCTGTGATGGACAAGGTGTAATTTACAGTTGCCTGCATAGGACGGTGATAAGCAAAAGACTGATTTATTGCTGTTCATTTGTTGTGAATTAAGGATTACTGCTGTGTAATGTAACAACTATCATAGTGTTGACACCCTAATATTAATCTGTTGTAATGTACAAGAATAATTTTCTATAGCTATGGAATGCATTTCAGAAAAAAATAGTACATTTATACTTCACTTCTGGCCTAATGTAATTTGACTTAAATTTTGTCTACACACAAAGTTGCACAGGTTAATTAAAATTAGTTTGATAGAAAATTCAGTCAAGTCATTGTACTAAACACATGTGGACACTCTGAAATATAATTTAAACTTAGTGTGTATCAATTTAGCTAGAGAACATTCCGTATCAAATTAAGTTGCTATAGAGCATTTTTAAACCACAAGTGGTAAAATCCTGGCTCTGGCTAAGTATGGCAAAACTCCTGTTGACTTAAGTGGGACAAGGGTTTTACCCCAACAGGCCACATCAGTTTAACTAAAATCATTAAATTATAGTGATGCTGGTATGCAGATACAGTCTCATTTGCATACATAGTCTCACTACCTTCAGTAGGGATAGAAATGTAGCCGTGTTAGTCTGGTGTAGCTGAAACAAAATACAGGACTATGTAGAACTTTAAAGACTAACAAGATGGTTTATTAGATGATGAGCTTTTGTGGGCCAGACCCACTTCGTCAGATCAAATCCTTCAGTAAGAGTACTCATAAGATTTTGTCCAATTGTTTTGAACAGTTCTGACAACGTAGCCTTTAATTGTCTTTTAAATCTTAAGAGCCGTAAATTCTTTTTCTGGGTGCAGTGGGATAAGTGAAACTCAAAAATGTGCATTGAAAAGAAAATATGCCTTGAGATCAACATTTCTACAGAATTCCCATCCTGTGTGACTCAGCTCAGGAACAGGCATTGTCTTTCTGAATAATTTAGCAATAAGTTGTTTGTATTTCATCAGTTCCCACTAATATCCCTTTGTTTTGTTTATTTCTCTGCATAGTTATATGTTGTATGGAGCTAATTTACTATCCATATCTTGAGAGGAGGAGGGGAGATCCATATGTATTATTGATATTTTTAAAAGGATGATTATGTACCTGTTTGTGAATCTCAGGGACATGACTGTCCTATCTGATTTTAATGTACATGACCTGCATGAAGTTGCTGAACTGTGTGTGAATCCATGTGAAAGCAGCAAAGACAATGATTTTCTTACTGTGCTTATGATAATACAAAGAGTAAATTATGTGAGACTCTGAAAAACATCTTATGGCTGTACTAGAAACTCCCCTGCTTGGTGCGTGTGATCAGCGATCAAATGGATGCCATCTGGAGTTATGAATTATTCAGTCATTACAGGGAATAGTGCAGATTCCGCCAGTTTCCTCTGCACCAGTTCAGTTTGCTGCCGCTGCCTTGCAGTTGCCAAAAAAAGAAAATAAATTCTTTCCTGTGCCTCTCTCTCAACCTCAATCTCCATAGTAGGTAAGCCACAGTTTAAATGAGCACATAGTTTAAATGAGATCAGAATGAGGGCCAGAGTACAGATCTACTCTGAAAGAGCTGAAATCGACACAACGACCGAGCACCACTTACATGTTACTTCAGGATTGATGTGGTACATACGCTTTTGCAGTGACTCTCTGAAAAGGGAAAAAATTCACTCTCTGCGACTGAGCCCCGGGAACCCTAAAATCCGTGTGATGTCAGCTGGAGTGGAGGATGCTCAGCCCCTGGCAGGAGGAGCTCAGAAAAGGATATTTCTATTTCTCTGCTTCAGATTTTTCTGCCTACACCAAAAGAAGTTTTCTTCTGCACCAGTTCCCTATTTCATATAGGCATCTGAACACAGTTTTTATTTTTGCCTGAATACCTCTAGTCATAAAGTTTCCTCTTTAAATCCCCCTTTTAATTTCCTCTGTAAAATCAGTGAATGTAAGGAAAGGTCCACAAATGGGTGTTTGAATGACAGCACCACATTTTCATTGGCAGTGAGCAGGGACTGTGTCATGGACACTACCCTCAGATCACTTACAGTAACTTCATCTCAAATGGCTGCCTCTCAAACTAACTCTATTAAAGCACTTAGATTGTATACACTCTGATCTCCCTGTGTTTAATAAAATAGCACATAAGACAGGGGACAAACTGGTTCCTAGAGCAAGTGCGTACATCTCCCATTGGCTGAAGTTCACAGATTCGGGCAGGGCCAGCCCACAACATTTTGGCACGTGAGGTGGGGAGCTCAAATGATGCCCCCATGCCCTCTTTTCTCCTGCCTGCCTGTTATGTCTCTTGTGCCCTCCTTCCTCCAACACAGCACTCCACCATCTCTGTGCCTCTAGAGCAGAGAGAATACACATGCACCAGCAGCAGACACTATTTTCTACACTCTGGGTCATAGTGGCACTCCCCTTCCCCGAACAGTCTGGCACCTGAGACGGCTGCCTCAGTTCGCCTCATAGTAAGGCCAGCCCTGGATTTGGGTCCAGACATGGCCTTTTACAAAGACCCCTATATGCTGCTCCAGGGGCACAAAGGGACCCTGAAGCTGAACTATCCATTTAGCTGAAGATTTTTCCTGTGTGGAAATCTGTGCTTGGGGTAAAGGCAGTGCAACCATAATTCCTGTAATACAATAGTCGTCTAAGGTTTTTTGAAAGTGTGAACACTTTGGCTACATCTAGACTGCAGGCTTCTTTTGGAAGAAGCTTTTCTGGAAGAGATCTTCCGAAAAAACTTCTTCCAAAAGAGAGTGTCTACACAGCAAAAGCGCATCGAAAAAGCAATCTGTTTTTTTGAAAGATAGCGTTCACACTGAATGGACGCTATCTCACATTTAAGCTGTGATTGCTATGGATGGAGTGGCCACCAGGACACCTGTGCTTTTTCCTCTTTTTCAAAAGAACTCCCTCTTCCCCGTCCACACAT